TAATTATATAGTATTTTAAATTATGGCATTAAACTAATATTAATGTTTATATTACTGCAATTTTCAATTGTAATATTAGGAATCTTTGCTTTTTATATCTTATACCAGAATTGATCTCATTATTAGTTTTAGCTTCAGATTTATTATCAACTTTGGTTTTGGGTCCATTATTAACATTAGCTTCAGAATCAATTTCATTAAATTTACTGAAAAGTAAATCAGATGCTTTGAAAAATTCTTTATTAATATAATTTAGAAGTAGAATCTCTTAATTCTATATGAGAATCAGATTCTAAAAAAAAATAGAAAATTAATATAACTTATAAATAAATATTTTTACTATATCTAATATTATTTTATCTGTTTCTTTAATTAGAATTAAAAGAGAAACATTATCTCATTTATATTTTAATAATTGATGCTGATAAGCTGAAACTCCTGCAATAGTTTTATGTTAAGAAAAGATTATTTGTTTATCTAATTTAATATCCAATTCTACAAGATTATGAATATTTATAAATTGCATAGAATAATTAGTAATAGAATGGTCTTTAAAATCCAGCTTAGCATCTTTACAAATATTATGCATTGTAGTATCATGTGATTCTTTTCCTAATTTTGATATTAAATACCAATCACCATGATATACTTTCTTAGGAGTATTTATTGAACTAAAAAAATAATCATCAACAACATTGTTTAGATGTTTAGATAAATATTTTCGAATGACAGCAACTGGAATATAAATATTTTCTGAAATATCAGCTGATATTAAACTATTTTCAGATTTTGCATATGGATCTTTAATTCCTTCTGCATAGTTTTTTTCTTTAGACAGTTCAAGCAACATACTACCATCATCTAGTTCTTTAAGCCAAGATGCTTTTAATCTTTTTGTGTCTCTACCTCTTAAACAATATAATAAAGTTAGCCAGATCTAAATTCTTCACATAAGGCCTTTTGGATTTTCAACAGTTATAGCAAGTGAATTTAGTATAAACTTAATTTCATTAATTTTTAGTAGACTAGATTGTTTATGATTTTTATTACTATTATTAGCAAGTAATTTTATGCAACCATCTAATATTCTATGCAAACTTTTAAATTGATATTTATCAAGCAAGTTTACAATTAGTATTTCTTCAAACATATCAGATATTCCTCATGCTATAGCACAAAATTCAGTATAGAGTGATGTTGCTTTATATGCCTGACCATTTGATTTTCTTACTTCAACAATAAACTGCCCCAACTAATCTGATAATGGTTTATTATCCAGTTTAACAATTTCATTTGAATAGTTACGTAACTCACAAAATTTTATAAACAAAGACATCAATACATTTTTAGATCTGTCAGTATTTATATTATTGATGCTTGTTGAAATTCAGAAATCATTTCTTCAGTTGTTAAAACAAATCATGTAACAGTTTTTAATATTTTTTTTATTAAAAGTTTTAGGTTTAACAAAAGAAAAAGCTTAACAAAAAAAGTTCATTAAAATAATCATTATAAATAGTTAATCACAGATTAATTATAATAATATGTAGTCAAATTAAAATTTAGTGACATGCTCCTTAAGATTATTTATTTATTTCTTGAAGAAAAATTATAACAGAGGTTACTGATGATCATATCATGTAGGATGGCCCAAAGCGCCATTCCATATGCTATGATCATCAGTAACCTCTGCTATAATTCCTATTCTTTTAAAAATAAATAATACTAAACCTTCTGCTCCCAACTATACTAATTTTATCAAATTTGAACTATTATATTATATACCAACTAATATTTTCTAAAAAAACACTTTCTCAATTTTTATTGAATTTTACTAAGCAACTTTATACTTTCTTATTAACAAAAATATTCAGCTTATTAAGACAATCATTTTAATATAAATTTCATCTTTAATAGACCAAAACTCATTAAGTTATTAATATTTCTCTTCAAACTCCTATCCAAACTCTCTTCTGAAATTTTATTGGTCAATTTCAGAAAATTTATGGAATGCCTCAAAAAATTCACTTTTTACCAATCTTAAAAATATCCAAATTCCTAATATTTCTTCAAATTCTTTCAAAAGAACCTGGAAAATTTATTGGTTTTCTGAAAAATTTACTGCCAATTTCAAAAAACTTAATTTTTTTCCTAATTTTTATTCTTTTTACTCACTCTTTTTTGCTACCTATATTACAAAATACTTTACCCATACTATAAACTACTTAAAAATTTTTTCTATATCTTTGTTTCAAGCTATTTACAATTTTAAATATTTTTTTATTATTATTGCTTATAATTTCAAAATGAATTCACAAACTACAACCTAACAAGATCACCTTTTAGACTAATTCAAAAGCTATCCTATCTCAGAAATTTTTTTTTTATCTACACTTATGATATTTGGAATTCAAATATTAGATTTCTTAAAACCAATCCTTAAAGATTTCTACTCTGGTTCAATTATTAATTTTACAACAATTAACAAACTAGTTGTAAAAAGTAATTTTAGTCTATTAATTCAAGCTATAGCAATTAAAAATCTAAATTTATTATAGACACAATTCTAAAAAAAATTCACATATAACTGAAGCAACCAAAATATCTTTTAAAATTCTTCTTAGTACAACAAAAAACTAGCTTATCAAATTTTATTTATATTTTTTTTTATAAAACAAATTACAAACAACTCTTTAATTTGTACTATTTTATTCTCCCTTATTCAATTAAAAAATAATTTCAAATTACTATAAACCTTGTCAGACTTTATCTATTCCTATATAACAAATACTAAATCATTAATTATCAAAAATTCTTTTATAACTTATAACTTAAACCCATCTATCTAAAAATCTTTATTCATATAAACCATATTTCAAACATTTTGAAAAACAATACTCCTATTTTACAAATTCATAATACTTCTAAATTCTATATCAATATTGCTATAAATATCTCTCTCCAAGAATTTAATATAAACTATTGTATTCCATCTTTTTATTTAATCAAACCACAATTTGACACCTGATTTCAAAATTTCTTTACATATTACAAAAAAAACAATTTAGTAACATTAATGAACAAAAAGTCTATAATTATATCAAATACCAAATAATAACAGCAACTAATAATAAATACAAAAAGCTAATCTTTCAAAAACCTGAACTATTAACTATCCAATCTATTCAAGATCAAACAAACTATATTATCAAAATAGCAATATACTATATATACACCTGCATCAATCTGGAAAAATGTAAAATTCTTAATTCAAAAACAATTTATAATATTTACAATTTAACTTTTTACTACTTTAAACAATTCTTTAATACTATATTTATTTAACAATATATATATTGATTTTTAAATTTTTCTATTTTCATCTCAGCAACATTTTATATACCCTTATCTTTTAAAAAACTTTATAAACTAGTTGATCAATCTGAACAAATCTTTATCCAATTAAATAACACATCTATTAATTCTAAATATATATCTTATTTCTTTTACTGTTATCTTAAAGCTTATTTTAAATCTGCAATAACAAACAATAAAATTATTAATCTCATTCTTAAAGAAATATTGAACAAAACCTTCTCTCAAACAAGCAATTCACAAATCTTAGCCAGAATCATTACCTATTACAACATCATCCAAATCTCTAAACCAACCATTATTCAACTTAAAAAAAACTTTAACAAGTCATATTTTGATTAAGTGAACTAATATATTATTAAAAAACTTAATATTGTTATATCTACAATATCAAAAACTGAATTCATCTACACTTTTAATATATTTAAAATCATTAATAAACTTGATAATAACTTTTTTTCTAGTAATACCTATATATTTCTGTTAACTTTTCTTTATCTATTTACCTATCTAATCTATATTATTTATTTTAACTACATCTTTACAATTCTGTTAACTTTCTTTATCTATTTGGTTATCCAATCAATACTACTTTTTACTTTTCTAACTATACTTTATTTCTTATTTAATTTATCTTACTTTTGGTTTTTTTTTTTATAATAATATAATTAACTTCGAATAATATAAATAGTTAGTGAAATCTATGAGTAGCTTACTAGTGTATACTAAAGTAATGAATATTATTTAGAAAATTTTAACTAATCTAAGTAAGCCTTAGTCATTTTAGTAGGTTTAAGCTTCAGATAAATATGTCTAAGCTTTTACACTTGCATATAACATTTATATTACTTAGAGTTATAGTTTTATAGTTAGTAGTTTAATGGTTAACTCTGACCACAAGTGTTGGTATTAGCTATAACATATATAGACCTTCTTTTTGTATTCAGTAACTCTATGTAGTTACTACTTAATAACTATGAATAAGATAGGAACAAGGCTTCATCTTAATACCAAAAAAAAATATTTTTCTAGTTATAAAAAATATGCTAAATGCTACTTAGTTATAATTTGAATAAAACTTCTTACCTCAAGTTTTATATAAGCAACATATAAAAGAAACAAAATTTGGTTAATACTTAAAACAAAAGAAATATTTCTATTATACAAATGCCAAATTTTGACAATACAAAAACTTGATCTTCAGAATAAAAACTATATTTGATAATTTGAACAAAAATCAAAGATAGAGTTTCTTCTACTTTTAACTGGTCTTGAAATAGAAGTAAAATTGCAATTAAAGAAATTAGAAAAAATGAACTCTTAATCAAGAAAATCTTTGAGCTTCTAAAAAAATCTACTCTATTATCTATTCTACTTCAGGTTTTTTTTAAATGAGACTCAATTTACTTAACTCTTATTGAAATATATATGCAATAAGAAAAAAGATATCATATGCATCTTTTTTACAAAACATATCTTCTAGGTTATCATTTAAAAACATTAGATCATCTAAGACAGGAAACTATATCTAGTGTCAGACAAGCTACAAACGATTAAATATTTTGCTATCAAGTACCTTAGAATCACTATAGTTTAACAAGAAACTATAGTTTTCTTCACATCAATAAGGAAAAAGTTATGCTGACTTCAATGAAAAACATATTTTAAACTTTAAATAGTATTTGCTTCCAAACTTCAAAAGCTTTAACATAATTATACATCAATGTGATCTATGAAATCTGATGTCAATACACCTTATTGAAATAGAAAAATTCTAATACATTACTTAACTTTTTAGTTCTTTAATTAGAAATTGTATTTCTAAATAAATACGCAATCCATTTAGTAATTGGTCAAACTTCTAAACTATTATGTAAATATTTAAAAAGTATTTAGGCTATTTATAATGTCTTAATAAAAGAGTGCCACCTCTCTCCTAGTTGCATATACAACAGGGATATACAAAAAAAAATAGACATGTTTAATAACAATATAATTACAATATTATTGCTTAATTAATGAAACTATTTAAAGTAAGGATGTGATCATGCTTAAACTAGTTAGTTTGTGCTTGAAACCCGAATTAACACTGTTCCGAAGCACATACAAAAACTGGGTTTCAAACTCTGTTCCAATGCATATACAAAAAATAGATTGCAAGCCCTGTTTTAAAACCAGTTATATATATGAATATTACTTATATTAATTATATATGCTAACTTAAACCTGTTACACTTTATTAGAATATGTATTTATTTTTTTTTTTTTGGTGTTAAGGTGAGGTCTTGCTCATATCTTTATTAGTAATTTTAGTTGTACATATTAATATACTATA